GTTACGCGGCGTTTTGAAGCGTCGTGTCATTTGAGACAAATGGGCCCGAGTGCTCGGCACACGATAATACGTTGAATTCAGTGCAAAGCTGCGGACTGCTGTTGGCTGTGTTCATGTGAGAAGCTGACCAGCCAGAGCGTAACGTAACAAATCGTCAGCTTTTTAATGCAATAGCGTTAAGAAGCCCTGCCGACCTAGGATTGTTGTTTGTGGATGCTTGAGCTGTAGCTCCAGAGGTAACGGAGGACGTTGGAGCGACATATGGGGACAGGCATGAGATAAAACGCTTTTTATTTTCATTATATTGCATGCAAATCTGAATGAAGGTGGTGGATGTGTTCAAAGACGTCGTTTGCATCTGTTGATACCAATATTGCATGGGCTTTACTCTAAATTTTTCGGATCCTGTTAGGAAGTGTGAGTTTTGTACCGATAATTATTATGCAAAGATAGTGTACGTCGCCTGTGCGCTCAGCTGATTGTAGGATAGCATTACAAAACCAAAGATGATATTGGTGTGAGGTGCTTGTAGAACCATGTTGTCGATAAATATAGGGCGACAGGGAATCAAATTTTGCAAAATGCGTTTGGTTGAGGGATAGAGGTGCGCGTGTGGGGGGGGGGGACAAGAAGGACTGAGTGAGCCTGCCTCCAAAATGCACTCAAATCATTTTTCCCACAGATTGACGCACTTCCTTTTCACAGCTGGAAGTAGCGGTGTAGCTCCTCGAAATCAGTTCGTAGGACTAAACCTTAAAAATTGTTATTAATGAAAATAATGCTTAAAGGTAATAAATCAAAATAGGAAACTACGTCATGGTTAGGAGGCACAATCCCTTGCCCCATCTGAATAGGAAACTACACGCCTCCAAACTGGCTATGTCCTTGTCCTTATTTGATAATTTGATTAGTTAAGTGTTAACCGTCATTCGGTGCTTGATGGCGAGCAAATGATGTTGCTGTTGATGTTATATAAATGATGTTAAACATTATGAGTTATACTGCAACGGTTTCTGAGAGATTCGGCCACAGGTGGCAATTTAGACGGTTCCAAATTCCGTTGGTGACAGAAAAGGCGCTTTTCTCACCCCTGCATACATGTGGGTGTGGGTGTGGGTATGGGGTATGGGTATGGGCTTGGGTGTGGGTTTGGGTGTGGGTTGGGTGTGTGTGGGTGTGGGTGGGTGTGGGTGTGGTGTATGTGTGTGGTGTGTGTGTGGTGTGTGTGTGTGTGTGGGTGTGTGTGTGCGTGTGTTGTGTGTGTGTGTGTGTGTGTGTGTGTGTGTGTGTGTGTGTGTGTGTGTGTGTGTGTGTGTGTGTGTCTGTGTGTGTGGGTGTGGGTGTGGGTGTGGGTGTGGATGTGGGTGTGGGCGTGGGCGTGGGCGTGGGCGTGGGCGTGGGCGTGGGCGTGGGCGTGGGCGTGTGTGTGTGTGTGTTGGGTGTGTGTGTGGGTGTGTGTGTGTGGTGTGTGTGTGTGTGTGTGTGTGTGTGTGGTGTGTGTGTGGTGTGTGTGTGTGTGTGGGTGTGTGGGTTGGGTGGGTGGGTGTGGGTGTGTGGGTGTGGGTGTGTGGTGCGTGTGTGTGGTGTGTGTGTGTGTGTGTGTGTGTGTGTGTGTGTGTGTGTGTGTGTGTGTGTGTGTGTGTGTGTGTGTTTGTGTGTGTGTGTGTGTGTGTGTATGCGTGTGTGTCTGTACAAATGCAGATGTGGTTCACGCTTGCTTTGGTGCGCAATGAGGCGACGCCGCTGGTGTTTGGATAGCATCGCCGTTAGCCATATGACATTAAGACGTAAGCCGATTATACAAGTTTGTTTTATTGAGCTTTTTAGCTTCAGCGCTTGCGTCATTTGACATTGCTTTTGGTATGTGGACGCCATGTACATCGTTGCTCAGCTCCGTGATGTGTTTTCGACGGCTTGGTCTTTGCACAGCGTATGGCTTTGACTTGTACAAAAGTTCGAGGTAGGACGCATTATCATTATCATTATCATTATCTATATTCTTATGTTATAAATGGTACACGAACGAGGTAAGAAAATATACGAAATGCGTTTCTCCGCCAAACGTCATTACATGCCCCGCTCTCGCACGTTGTAACCGTCGCTGGGACCTGACCAGTGTGAATCTATGCTGTGGATCGTTACAAACATTGCAGCTGTCACTATGTGCAAATGTTACGGCGATGCGTGCAGCCGTCTGTGCTGCGCGTGCTTCAGGCTAAAGCAATGCGTGCAGCCGTCTGTGCAGTGCGTGCGTCAGGCTAAAGCAATGCGTGTAGCCGTCCGTGCTGTGCGTGCGTCAGGCTGAAGCAATGCATGCAGCCGTCTGTGCTGTGCGTGCGTCAGGCTAATGCAATGCGTACAGGTCCAGACAGACATTCGCACACTCGAAAAGAAATGACATGATGTAAGTAAAATAACTTTTCGCCTAAAGTTTGAATTCCGATAAAGGTTGTCAGAGCGACCGCAGACGATACGGGCTACCCCACAATTTCACTGATTTTCTATCTTAACGCTTGGTAGAAGCGAAGGCTCATGTTCTTCTGTGAATGGTGAAGGTGAGATGACTCACTAAAATGAAATCTTACTGAACACAGGTATGTCGTAGACGCATCCCAATAACGAGCTGATTTGGAAAGCATGCCCCCCCATTCTTAACTATTCGCCATTCAGAGTTACAAGGGTGTGATATAAGTTTTCGTGTGACAATCGAATGACAAAGACCAGGCCTCTCTCTACGGTTTGGCGGTTTTTTGGGTCAACGGTAGACGAACGTGACATACGCCAGTCGTCGTGGAAATTCGTCTGAGGGTTTCATGTTCTCATCCAAAAGGAGAGGTGAGATATCTCACCAAAACCACGTCTTGTCGAATGCGCCTGTATCACACACCAAGCAACTCTCCATGATGGCCTCATCAAAATCTATGTTCACTTTTGCATTAACCACTCTCTTTTGAGTTACATCAATGCCACATAAGTTCTACTCCTAATGCGATCTCCCATAAAGCCAGCAGGTGCTAAATCTCTGGATTCGAGTGGTTCTTTAGATTTACTCTGATTGTAAATCTATCAGCAGCTGGACATGAGGCAGTCCAGCTGCCGTCAGGCACAGTCATGGTACCGTTCTGATGACATAACGTCGTGTATCGCCATGATAACGTAACGCATCTAGATTCGGGTGGTCACTTAGTTTTACTCTGATTGTAAATCTATCAGCAGCTGGACGTGAGACGGTCCACCTGCCGTCAGGCATAGTCATGATAACGTAAAGTCAGCCGCCATGCAAGACAGCCTGTGGTTTTCATGTGGCCACCTCCAATACGCCGGTGAGATATGCCACCAAGGATGGATCTTACCAAATATGGTTGCATATGTTCATAGTTATTTTCAAAAACTGTCCAGGCCAACGGAGTTCCTTACATTGACCTGCTAGTGAAATCAGTAGTTTTGCAAATACAACAATAACAACGAGCTGCATTGCACAGTCTTAAAAGCACGTTTAAGAAAACGCTCAACAAAAGCATTAGCATTAAGGCATTGTATCCAAAGGTTGTGTAAAGAGTTGTGCCGCAAGCCCTGCAGCTCCATTTGATGACCTTAGAAGCTATGAAATATTTGCCATTCTCTCAGAGTTGCACTAATGTAAAATCATATTTTACCTGACCCTCTTAACCGAAAAACCGGCTCACGGCAACCACAATCACAATTCCCACTGTGGTGACATGCTGTCGCCAGAACGAATCGGAAAGCTTCCTGCGATGCCTTAGTATTTTTTTTCTTTGCCGGTAGCTGGACGTGAAGCTCATCAGTTGTAATGCAGTTGATACTGGGAAATTTCTGTCCTCACGCATAAGATGAGCATGCGATATTTCGTCCCAAAAAATATTTTTTAAAATATTTTTACAAATTAGATTAGAGTGGACGGGCCGGGCGCTTATTTGGTTAAACGCTCCGCAACACCGGAAGCGTAAAGCCCCTGGGATTGTAATAAACGATCCGTTTTTAAGCTGGGGGGAGTGATAGCCAGCAGTCATTTGAGCCGTCTGATGAGGTAGTACTTCCAGCTGTTTGAGCGCGCTCGTGCAGACAAGGCCTGAAGAGACCACTAGCCGCACGCGCTGTGCCGGGGGAGCAAACGGCGGCGCTGCCTTCATTCCTGCGCTGTGGTGAAAAGCGGCCCATTCACCGCTGCAGACTACGGAGGCTACATCCTTATTACAATTACTCCTTGTAAAGGCCGTGTACAGTACCTTTGCTACTCAAGTAAGACCTAGAAGCAGGTCAGGCAAGAGCTAGAAGACCTAGAAGTTCTGCTTGATATTTTGACCGACATCCAATGTTTTCTGTACGAGTTGTGTGAATACGCGTTTCATGCCACACACAACTTTAGCACTCTGGCTTGTACGGGCAAATGTCCTCACAGCTGGTGGCCATTTCATTACTGCAAACACTCCTTTTTAGCCTTGTTAGTGCTCTCGAGCACTTACGCGCCCTGTGAGTCGTTGCATCCATTGTCTTAATTGGAAACTCGGCAGCGCTACAAAAATTTATGTATTCTTGCCCAGCTTAGACAGTGTAGGGGCATCACTCTACATGGACACGCATAACCACACATCTAGTGTACACTCGTACGCCATGTGTTTTACTTTCCCTCCTGACAACTGCGATGGAGTTGAGCTCGGGAGTACTGCCCATGTAGGAGTACGCGCAAATACTGTCCAAGCCGTGCGTGACGCAATAGATTCCGTTCACACACGCAGTTTCGCAAACTCCACGAGGCAGCAGCGTCTCCAAGCAATCCATGTTCGTGTCTTAGGGTAAGTACATCGGGGCTAAAGCACCACGGGGCTTAGGGTCTAGCGAATTAGTCTTCCGCGATTGGCTAACGCTACCCGCTGGGGGACGAGGGAAGAACGGGTAGCCTCCGAGCCCGACAATGGGTCCCACACCAGGGGCCTAGGACGCCAACGGGGCCAACGGGGGAAACGGGACGCACTGCGCACCCGGCCCCCAGTGAGCCAGCGGCGCCAATTGCGCCGGGGGGGCCAACCGGGCCTCCAGGGCTGTCGGCGACCTTGAAGCCGCTCAGAGTGACGTAGTTGCGCCGACTGTTCTCTGACTCGTGAATGTCGCCGGTGATCACCTGTCGACAGGGAATGTGTGACCGGTGATCATTTGCCGACAGATCATATGCGGTCGATGATCACCCTGCCGACTGGTCGCATGTGTCCGGGGGTCACCTACCGACAGGTCATATGTGGCCGATGATCATCTGCCGATAGGGAATGTGTGACCGGTGATCACCTGTCGATAGGGAATGTGTGACCGATGATCACCTGCTGACAGGGCATGTGTGACCGGTGATCACCTGCCGACAGGGCATGTGTGACCGGCGATCACCTGTCGACAGGTCACAGGTGGTCAACACCGCCGCACACTGGATGGAAGCACCATCCGATAGGTGTATTTTAAAGTCATCATTTACGGAAAAGACCAAATGCAATAACGGCTATTGGAAGGGACATTCAATTACAATAGAATTTTAGACGCGTTTATCCATGCTTTGGTCCCATAAACGTTCCGCGGCCGCCAATGACTGATGGACATGAACCACCAGAGCATTCCCTATTGTGTGGTGCCTTGAATTATCCGTGGCGTAGTGCTCGACACGCTGCTGTTCGGAGCTAGTCTGGGCGGCGAGGAAGGACATGTGGTTGCTCAGGGGTTTCCAAATTATTTATCTAGCTCAGGGAAATCTCGAAATACCTGGGATCCACATGTGCGCGCGGGCCCCGTTGGAGTAGCGACACTCAAAATTGGGTTTGGGTTATATGCGCAACGGCGACCAGGGCGTTTAAATTACACGCACACAGTGAGGTGCCTCGTGTTAAGCAAATTGATTTTTGCACCGATCTGCAATGAAATCTCCAGTTAACGTATTTGTTAAGGAAATCAATTTGCTATTCTTGCTGCATGCAGTGCTTTTACGTTAAACTCTCAGCACCTTACCTTCAAATATTACGTCATACAAAACAGGACATCTAAAACCTTCAGATCTGGAGTCCCAGATTTGCGTTCAACAATTAAAACTGGCAGATACTGTATCCCACGTCTTTATTTATCGTTCGCACGTGCAAAACTGTGATGCATTAATGGGTACTGTTGAATACACTTTGAGTACAATGAGTACACTTTTCAGGAAGTTGCAGCAGGTTGGTGCCAAAGCTTACCTGGTGTCCGCCTGGGGCGTTACAGGCGGCCGCCAGAAGGATGTGTTACTCTTACATCTTTGAGTTTCTGGAGTAACTTCCAAAACCATGCTAGGTAAGCCTTCACAATTCTCCGCACCGACCTGATGATTGACGTTATATATGGTAGAAGAGTTGCTGGGTTCAGTCACATAGTCATGGTATTGTAAGTGAGGTGTCTTGCATGGCCATGTATACTTTTTCAGGCAGCAATACGCAGCATCCTGTCTAATTTCGTATTGTTTTAATATAATCAATCGACTGGTTCCGCTGTGCGTGTGAGATAGGGTCCGTCATACCGTGCAAATTTTAGCGAGATCAATAACAGCGCCCATGCCTGTAAGTGCTGAGCTTGTGGGCATCAGACTAACAATGTGTGTGTTACAAGAATTGGCATTTGTGTCAAACGGAAAATTAGAAGAAAGACGCAGAGGAAGTACGGAAAAAGGAAAATATAAATTAACCTAAAGTGAACTGACGTGACTTGAACTAAACCTGCATTTACCTGAAACCTTTGTTTATATCATGGCACGATTCTGAGGCAAATGAACACGCTGATGTGATCGCTGCTAGTTGAGGAGCTATACAAGCATTGGCCCAGGGACTTTGAGCTTGAAATCTGTACCTTTTGAAGATATTTACTGGACCTGTGAGGCCATTGATCAGATGGCAGACGCAACACAACGTAGGACTGACCGGTGATTCACTTCTGTTTGGATTAACACGCGCCCGATAAAGAGATCTGGAGATGAAGAGGGTGCACGGCTGGAGCTGGATGTCACTTTGCACGGTTCCAGACGGCATTGTTTGTTGGTTTTACATGGTTCCAGACAGCACTGTTTGTCTGGTTTGTACCGGAATTGGACCAGTCACAATCATTGTCTTTGTAGAATCACCAAAAACAGAAAAGTTGGTGCTTCTGAGAACATTCAGTTTTGGCCTCCCAATGACTTTGGTGGGGTCCGGATGACACTTTCAACCCACCGGGCGTGCGCATTCGGCGGGATGACCCCAGCGGTTCTAGGCATATCGTTCACTTCAGCCCTGGCAATGCAACGGTTAAGTTCTGTCACAATGCAACACAGAAATACAAGGCGAACTTCCGCCATACCGCGTGAGTACTCATGCTATGGTAGCGTACTGATAGTGGTGTTGACATTCGCCTATAAGAGTCGTTTTGCTTACGTGCAGTGATAGTTTGTCACCCAGTCCCAGCAAGACGATGCCGGAGTTGCTGGCGGTGCTGTAGTCAGTGCCGCTGCCGTATCCTGCCAGCACCTCCTCCGAGTTTTTGTGCAGCACCAGACTGGAAGAACGAAAGGCGGATGTCGTAATGGCATGTCAAATAGCCAGCGCTGGTCATCGTGCGCATTTAGTAAAGACACATTCTTCACCTGTGCCTGTTCTCCGTTGAAGGGGTCATGAGTTGTTACGCTCGTGAACACGGCTGACGTTGATGCCGCCCCATTGTATTTTTGTCGAAGGCGTCTATCATACAATGCAGTCAGTCACGATCCCGCCATCACTTGCCTATGATCTACTTGTGCAATGTAAACCTGTGAATGATCGATGTTACTGTGACGCATAATTAGCTCCCGATACACCAGACCGGTTTGGTATTCCATATCACCACCACAAGATGGTAATGTGAAGTGGTAAACACAACAAACGTCATTATTGTCGCAGCAATTGCCGAGACCATTCTAGAGCAAGGTGGCACTATGTCAAATTCGACAGTTCATGATAAGTTATCCAACAAAAGCGTGGCGAACGAAAGTTGGCCCTAGAAGAATCGAAATGACTTGTCCGCAGCATTTTTCATGTAATGGTTCATAAAAGTCAAAGCCAAGTCCGGTAATGTGCCAAAACTTAAACCACTCAGAGCATACCAGCAGATCTTCGCAGTGTGCCGCTAACATCGACGCACACGAAGGTTGCAAAGGCAAAGTCATGCGAAGTCAATGTGAGGGATGGCAATAGAATGATCTCAGGTGATGTCACGTTACCTTTGGTACGTGGTCTGATTTCAATCAACCAGACCCCCACAGGCCCCACGTAATAAATGGGCCAGTATAACGTGGCTGATAGTTTTATACCACGTAACGCTCGATTTGTTTAACACGCGTCCGGGTTGCCGGTTGAATACCTTCCCCTCTGGCGGAGGCCGGAGGCCAATTCGACCCCGTTGATATCTCAGAAACTGAGAGAGCTAGAGGCTCCAAATTTACATCGCGTGATGACCTGTATATGAACGCACTTTTGTCAAAATTTAGGGCTCTTAGGTTACGATCTTTGGGTAAGATAAGGTCAAGCAATGTAAAACTCATGATTGGTGTCGAAAACGCTCCCAGACCTTCTCATGCAACCGCCTTGAACCTAAATACCTGTTCTAAGAAAAAGCTTACTGGCGCTTATTTAAGAACAGTGACGTTATTTGACCTTTAGAAAGTAATGGTGACCAAAATCCTGCGAGATTGTTTTGATTTTTACAATGGAATTAACGGCAAGGCCCACGCTAGGCGGTATGTTTCCAAGACAACATGTTGGCCCGGGTCATTTTAGGCCAGAGACCTACTCTGAACTTTGCGATGTTCATGGAAGATGTTTGTTGCAGTTCCCGTATTCCTCGGCTTGGCATAGACACCTGACCCTAGGTCAATGTAATTTGAGTAGGCCTAAACTCGATCGCTTTTCGCCTAAGAAACTATTACAGAGACAAATGGCTTCGGCTAACACTCCGTTGTCGCACCCAAATAAACGATTCCGTAGATATTGTCTTTTCCGACAGCCACGGTCTGACTTCGATCTCTGTATCAGCATCGGCACCGTGAACATGTAGTTTTTGAGCCAAAAGATCCGCTATTCAATTAGCTACAGCTCTGCAGTTCAGCGCGGCTTCGTCGCGCCGTTCAGTCTTTTTTTTGTAAAATCTGTCGGGGAGGTCAAACTGACCCCCACCCGAGCGTGTGTTAATATTTATTTTGTCACATTCCGTGAGGAATCAGACGGGATCCAAAGCGACGATAACGGAGTGCTAGCGCGGGAGAAATTGCAGTTGTCAAAGTCGTAAACAATTTTAAAACGACGCAGGAAGATTGCATACTGACCAGGGTGCAGACCAGTCAGTGGCAAGAATGAAGGCAACTGTAAATGACAATCTTGAAAGGGGATGTTTCCTGGTACGCAGACGGCACACTGTACCTAAGGTTCTGAATGAGTTTACAGCAGCTGGTGTATGCATGACAGGTCACTCACGTCGTAGGAACAGCGTGCGTGGAGAGTCCGTGAAAAGAGACGTAGTAGTAGCCCCTCTCTCTGCACTCGTAGTAGCCCTCCTGGAAACGCCATCCCTTCACATCGTCCGCCATGATGTTGGTGAAACGTAGGTTTCCTGAAATAAAAATATGACTAAGCGACCACTTATCCCTCACCCGCACCTGATAGACTACCGGCATAACGCATAAGCACACGTATTTGTATATGACCGAGCCTGCATCAGCGGAGAAGCTGGTTTGTTTCGTTGCCATGTTCACCGTCCCTGCGCACAGTCCAGCATGCATCACTAACCTGCACGCCCAATGGCATTGGCATGACCCACGGAGAACACGGCGCCCTGGACATCGTTGACGGCGACGAAGACGGCGACGAGCGCGATCGCCGCTCGTTGGCACCTGACGGCAGACGTCACATCCCTCTGGCACCTGAGGGCAGACGTCACATCCCTCTGACACCTGACGGCAGACGTCACATTCCTCTGGTATTTGGGGCGGCAGACGTCACATCCCTCTGGCACCTGACGGCAGACGTCACATTCCTTTGGTACCTGACGGCAGACGTCACATCCCTCTGGCACCGGGGGCGGCAGACGTCACATCCCTCTGGCACCTGGGGCGGCAGGAGTCACATCCCTTTGGCACCTGGGACGGCAGACGTCACATCCCTCTGGCACCTGGGGCGGCAGACGTCACATCCCTCTGGCACCTGGGTGGCAGACGTCACGTCCCGTCACAGGTGACATCGATTGAGCGAAGTGACGTCCCAGGGTGGGGGGGGGGGTAGATTGTGGGGGGAGGGGGGTGGTCTTACTAGCAAATGGTTTTAAGGTATATTGACCCGTTCATTTCCCATTTTGCGTAAACAAGTTATAATGTGTTTGATCAGAAGTGATCCATTCCATGCTGAGGATGCCCATTTCATTCCATATGTGGAATAGTGAATATTGTATGGGATACCTGCAAAACTGTTAAACGCTGGTAAACACACAAATTTGTATCGTGGAGTGAACTGTATGTGCGCACATATGCGTGCAGAGCACACCCACTATATATATATATATATATATATATATATATATATATATATATATATATATGTAGTGGATGTCAATCATATCCAACCAACCGTCCAACTGTATTGTCAGGGTCAAGTGACATCTGCCCATAAACAATACGAAAAAGCTTTACGGGAAATTATCTCTCGACACATTAAAGGCAAATAATGACCACAAAATGAACATCGTCATTTATGATCGTAACAAGAAAATATCTAACTTTCTTATGAGAAACAGCCCAGACAAACCCGGCAAACTAAAACGTACCAATGGAGTGCATCAATTCAAGTGCAACATCGAAGGCTGCAAACTTCATTCCATACACTACATTGATGTGACCCACAACGACACTCTCACGACGCCCGACAATGCATTTACATGACGGGGCACCTCTGGACCACATGCGACACGAACACGACATGGCATTGACACGACAACAGCTGACGAACAACACTGACATTTTACGGACGTGCGGTGGCGGAAGACGCCTTCAACTTTGGGAAACAATATTCATTAAACGGGCTCTCTCTGGCCCTAAACAGACAAACAACTCTTGCACAACTTTTGAGCTATTAGGTGGTGAGCGGTGAGTATTATTGATGCGATTGTGGCAATAGTTGTTATCATTGTGTCTTTGTAGTGCTTCCCATTATGAGTGTCTCTTATATGTGGTCAAGTGAAAAATATGGACTCCGTCTCAATTCTATTAGTAATGTTTCATTTCTGTTCTCCGTATTAAAAGATGATTTCCAATAGCGGTGCCGCCATCTCCATGCCTTCTCTGACTATAAAGTAGGAGCTCGAAAACATAAGAATGTAAGGAGCGATGAATATATAAGGTAATTTTGTACGAACCATCTTTAATACTAAGCGATGATGCCACATTAAAGACCGAAAACTAGAACGATGCGTCAAAAAGCTCGCCAATGCTGATTCAGTAGATAATTCTAGTTAAACACACACACACACACACACACACACACACACACCACACACACACACACACACACACACACACACACACACACACACACACACACACACACACACACACACACACACACACACACACACACACACACACACACCATACAATATACACATATATATACATATTATATATATATATATTATATAATATATATATATATAATATATATATATACATATAGATATATATATATATATGTATAGATATATGTTTATATATATATATATAGATATAGATATATATATACATATATACATATATGTATGGTGAGTGTACTCTGTCCATAACCTGGCATTTTTTACGATTCGATTTTCTTCTTTGGGTGACAGCTCAAAAGTACGATGTAACTTCTCCAGAGTATTAAAAACACGCCGAAATTATTTTGGTGTGAGGCATCGGCTTGAGGAGACACACGTTGCTGTCAAAGCAACCGGTACATGAGATGATAAAGTTCCATAGGCCTTTAAGAGAGCAATCTAAGGCCATTAGTACTGATCTGTTTGTGTAATGCTCTTTGCAGTTGCACTGAGGAGCTCACGTCGTCAGCACAATTGGAATAATCAGATCGTTTGTACGCGCCATGGTCGAGTTCAACAGCAAATACGTGACGC